CTGCTAGTGCTACCATCATCAGGAGTTAATCTGATACTGTATACAAAGAATCCTTTAGTTTCTTCTAGTGTCACTATATCCCATGATAACACTATTGTATCTCCTATTCTCATTGCTTGTACATTAGAAAGTGATACTGTAACACTACCTATACATAAAATGACATATACATTCATTCATTAGCATTATCATTATATTTTACTGTCGGTTTTGGTGAATACAATAGCAGTTTCTGATTTTCTCTCACCAACTTGATTGGCTGCTACAACTGATACATAATAAGGTACTCCTGGTTCTGGTAGAATGGTAATAAATAATAATAATAATTTTTACTCTTATGCTTACTCAATCCACCATAAACTAATGTGTATAATGCTTTATTAATCATAAATGAAGAATATCTTTCACTAGTAATTGCATCAGTAGCTATTCTAATAATAAATTTTGTGATTTCTCCATTAGGATGAGATGGTGGACTCCATGTTATATTGATAGTAGTTTCATTAAGAACTGGTACAGTATAAGCTACTGTTAAACTATTAATGACAACTGGAGACACTACCAGATGAGGTGAACTAGGAACTGTGTATTGTATTTTAATAAATGTATCATAATAATATACTTACTGTCTGGTAGTGTTCTTCCTCCAGTAGTAGCCACTGGTCCAGCTCCAATGATTGTACTAGCACTAACACTAGCAGTGTAATTCTGATATGGACTGAAACCAAAAACTAATTGTGTGACTGTAGTTTGATTGACAGATACAAGTATTGTATAGTTACGTACTGTCAGTGTATTTAAGTTAACAACAACTAGAGTATATTCAATTATTATTCCATTAGGAGTAGCTGGCTTAGTCCACGTAAAAATGACTGCTGTTTTATTAGGTATTGTAGTGAAATTTTGAGGAGTATCACTTGGTCCTATAGTAGAATAGAATCTAAATTCTAATGCAAATAATTTTATGACTGTTTGATGAATAATGTATGCATGTACATGATAATGTAATGTACATTAATGCACATGAACAATAATATACACATAACTTACTATCTTGTGCTGTTTCAAATGTACACTGGGTAGAGGGTCCTTCTCCTACTACATTAATAAATGACAGCTCACAAGTGTAACCAGTAAAAGGCATAACATCAGTAATAGTGAACATTGTGTTTGTTGAAGATTGTGTTGGGCTCAATCCATTGACTGATACACCATTAGTATTTATACATGTTAAATTATAACCAACTGGTGCTCCATTTTGATCTATTAGTGCTGGTCCAGTCCAAGTAATTGTAATGGAAAGAGGTAGAAAAGTAGTATTAATACAATTCATTGGATGACGTGCTGGTACTATAAATATAATATAAAATT